TTTTAGGCATATGGTTTTAGTTATTTCTTTGTTACTGAAATTTAGTATGGTCAGAGAATGTGCTCTGGATTATTTTAATCTTTTAAATCTCTTGGATACTTGCTTTCAGTGTGGTATGTGGTCAGTTTTTTCAAGTTTTCTCTGTGTGTTTGAATTTATTATGGGTATTTTGCTGATGCTGGGAATAGGTTCTATATATGCCCATGAGGTCATTTTACAATTGTGTTCTTCAAATCATATATATCGACATTAATGTTTTTTCTTGTTCTATCAGTTACTGAGAGAGGTGTTTTAATATATTCTATTATGATTGTGGAATTGTTTTTTCTTCTCATATTACTATTTTATATATTTTCTCTGCTTCATACACTTTAATATTATATTTAGATGCATACACATTTAAAGTTGTTATTGATGCTTTGGAAATTTTTTCTTATAAAGGACCCTTTGAATTCATTACTCATAATTTTTAATTTAAAATGTAGTTTCTTGGATAAGAATATAGTCACATCAACTTCCTTCTGTTTAATTGCTTGATACTTATTTTTTTTGAAGTGGATATTTTATCATTTTTCATTATTATCATTAGTATATCATGTTAAATGAAAGTTACAGAAATTGATAAAATGATACCCAGAAGCTGTTGATTATGAGTAGAACAGTGCATAAAGAAAAATCTGGAAAGAAAATACTCTAAAAATTTATAGAAAATACACATTGCTAAAGTTGCAAACACTGAAATTATTTTCCACATTTGTAAAATTTGCTGTAGAGCAAATAATGCCCATGTTTATAGGGACCTAGTACAAGGCAAATGATTGAAAATGAAAATTCCCAAAGAATCTATAATGAGTTTTTAATATTTTTTGAACTATATATATTTGTTTAATTGTTATATATAACAGCAGAATACAAATTCAATTTATATTACACATATAGAGCACAATTTTTCATGTCTCTGGTTGTACACAAAGTAGAGTCCCACCATTTATGTCTTCATACATGTACATAGGGTAATGATGTTCATCTCATTCCACCGTCTTTCCTTCACTTATACACCCTCCCTTCCCCTCCCTCCAATTTGCCCTATCTAAATTTCATCTATTCTTCCCATGATCCCCCCTCCACCATCCCCATTATGAATCAGCCTCCTTATATCACAGAAAATATTCAACATTTGCTTTTTTGGGATTGGCTTACTTCACTTAGCATTATATTTTCCAAATCCATCCATTTACCTGCAAATGCTAAGATTTTTTTCTCTTTTAATGCTGAGTAATATTCCATTGTGTATGTATACCACATTTTCTTTATCCATTCATCTACTGAAGGGCAACTAGATTGGTTCCACAATTTAGCTATTGTGAATTGTGATGCTGTAAACATTGATGTGACTGTGTCCCTGTAGTATGCTTTTTAAAAGCCCTTTGGGTACAAATTGAAGAGTGGGATAGCCAATTCAAATGGTGGTTCCACTCCAAGTTTTCCAAGGAATCTCCATACTGCTTTCCATATTGGTTGCACCAACTTACAGTCCCCTAAGCAATGTATGAGTGTGCCTTTCTCCCCACATCCTCACCAACACTTATTGTTGTTTGTATTTTTAATAGCTACTATTTTGACTGGAGTGAGATGAAATCTTAGAGTAGTTTTGATTTGCATTTCTCTAATTGCTAAAGATGATGAGCATATTTTCATGTATTTGTTGATTGATTGTACTTCACTTTCTGAGAAGTGTCTGTTCACTTCCTTGGCCCATTTATTGATTGGGTAATTTGTTTTTTTGGTGTTAAGATCTTTGAGTTCTTTATATATCCTAGAGATTAGTGCTCTATCTGATGTGTGAGAGGTAAAAATTTGCTCCCATTCTGTAGGCTCTCTATTCACCTCACTGATTATCTCTGTGGCTGAAAAGAAGCTTTTTAAAAAATATGAAATGTTTCACAGATTTGTGTGTCATCCTTGTGCAGGGGCCATGCTAATCTTCTCTGTATCATTCCAATTTTAGTATATGTGCTGCTGAAGCAAGCACTATTTTTCATTTTTTAATTTTCAAACTTTGAATCCTTATTTTAGATATAAATTCTTGTAAACAGTATCTTATTGGATTTTTAAAAATGCAATTTAAAAGTGTTTCCCTTTAAATGGAACACAGTCCATTTATATTAAAAATGATTTAGGTTTGTATCTATTATGTTATTGTGTGCTTTCTGTTTGATCTGCTAATCCTGTTTCTTTTTCCTCTTCTTTTTTTTTACCTCTTTTGTATTAAATGCTTTTCATCAATCCATTTCCCTCCTATTTGTTTGAATGCTGTGCATTGTTTGTGCTCTTTTCTAGATCACTGTAGAAATTATAATATTCAGACATGAGGTATCAAAGTCTGAAGTTAATCTATGTGTTTATCCTCCTTCTAGATTATGAAAGGACCTTATAGAATTTAAGCCTCATTTCTCTCTTCCATACTCATGTTAATAAGATATAAATTATATTTATTATTTAACATCACAGAAGTATTGTTTTGTACAATGTTTATTTAGATTTTTTCCACATTTGTCTTTATTTCTCCTGCTTCTTATACATTTGTCTGGGATTACTTTCTTAGATGTTCCTTAATGACATTGCTAGAGGCAAACTAGTTTTGCTTGTTCAAGTATGTCTTTATTTTAATGGACTTTAAACTCTAGGTGGCAGTTATTTATTTATTTTTTTAGCATATTGTTTCTTGGTTCCCACAGCAGCTATTTAGATATCAGACTTTATTTTTTTCAATACTGGGGATTGAACCCAGGGGTGCTCTACCACTGAATTACATTCCCAACCCTTTTTATTTTGAGACAGGATCTTGCTAAGGTAGGCCTTAAACTTGTGATCCTCCTGCTTCAGCCTCTAGAGTTGTTAGGATTACAGGTGTGAACAACAGTGCTTGGCTAGGTAGAGTTATTTTAAAGTCTCTATTTGATATTTCCAATATCAAGGTTGTCTGTTGTTTCTGTTAATATTTGTTCCTGGCGTCTTGTTTCTTTGTGTGCTTTTTAAATTTTGATGGTGGGTTTTGTGGAAAATTACCTAGGGGAATTTTTTGAGGCTCCTGCTCCTTTCTTTAGAGAGAGTTTGTGTTTGTTTCTGTGAGGAGTCTAAGACTCTTATCAGTCCAGAATTGCTTTCTGCTTTCATGGCTTGATGAATGGCTTGATACCACTTAGTAATATGAATTTGGGATTAAATCTACACAACCATAACTCTTAAAGGATCTTATTGGTATCCTGATCTCTGTTGTTTCCCAGAAGAGTATAACCTTGCAAAAAAAAAAAAAAAAAAAAGGCTACTTTGTCTTCTTTAGTTTCCTTTTAGAACTTGGTGAAGTAACTCTCAAATAATAATGTGCCAGAGGAATCTGCTAAAAACGTAAAGATTCCTCTGAATGTGATGATGCATGCCAGTAATCCCAGCTACTTTGGAGGCTAAGATGGGAGGATAGAGAGTTTGAAGCCAGCCTGGGCAACACAGTGAGACCCCATCTTAAAAAAAAAAAAAAAATGAAGATTCCCAGTCAAGCTGGGCAAAGTGGCTCATGTCTCTAATTCCCAATGGCTCCAGAGATTGAGGCAGGAGGATCATGAGTTCAAAGCTAGCCTCAGCAAAAGTGATGTGCTAAGCAATTCAGTGAGACCCTGTCTCTAAATAAAATACAAAATAGGGCTGGGGATGTGGCTCAGTGGTCAAATACCCCTGAATTCAATCCCTGGTATAAAAAAAAAAAACACCAGTCAAGCTCATTGGATTAGACTAAGGGGAAGGAAGGGAAAGTAGAGGGAATGGGAATAAGGAAGACAGTAAAATGAATCGGACATAATTTTCCTATGTTCACATATGAATACACTACCTGTGAAACTCCACATCAAGTACAACTGCAATAATTGGATCCTAATTAGAAAAACTTATATTTCATGTATGTATAATATGTCAGAATATACTCTACTGTCATGTATATCTAAAAAGAACAAAAAAGTTATATGCATGTATGAATATGTCATAATAAAAGTCACTATTCTGAATAATTAGCATGCACTAACAATTAAAAAAAAAACAGAAAAAATACTCTACTGTCATGCATGTCTAAAAAGAACAAAGAAACAAACAAAAAGATTCCCCAGTCAACAAAAGAGATTATGATTCAGATGATGGGGGTGCAGGAATATGCATTTTTAGCAATTACCAAAGAGAAGCTACATGTAGGTGATAGAAACATCAGCTTGAGATCACATAGCTTCTTTGGGCCCATTGTACAACCTTAGGCAAGAATACGTAGGAGCCACAATTCTTTGTCTTCCTGGGGTGGGGATGGAGATGTATTCTTTAAAATGCTCAGGAACCATTTATCTCTTTACATGCATGGCCTGAAACTGCTCAAGTGTAGTGTTTGAAGCTTCACATGGGAGGGAGGAGTGCTGTGTGCCCCTGCAGATCTGGGTCTCAGTGAAAGAAGTGCAAAAGTACCTTGCTTATGTATGCACAGCACTTTCAAGAAAGTAATGATATAGAAGTCCTGATCTATGTTAAAAAATGTTCAGCGTCTTTCTCCCTACTCCTCAACTGGTACTAGAATTAAAGAGAGGTATCAGTTTTTGCTGGGATGCTGGCTTGAAACACCAGGATAAGTCAACTTGCTTTTCTCCAAAAGTAATTTTTTTTTCTTCCCCTCTACCCTCAGTTAAATTGGAAATGTGTGAATTGAAGCCTGAGCTGATATCAAAAAGAGATAATGAATTGGGGCCTTGAAGCTCTTAAACAGTTATTACCTGAATGAATATTTATAAATGGACTTTTAGTGTTCTAATATGAGTAACATATGGAAGTTAAAACTCAGCAGATCCTAATGGGAAGTAGGTAATTGAGGGGGAAGGCCTTACTCTCTATTAAATGAAGAAATTTAGAAACCTTTAAAAAGAAAGCAAAAACGACAGCAAGCCACGTAAGAAAAACTGAGAAATCCGAAATCCGACCCAACTTAATAAATAACTTTAATTTGATTTATTGAAGTGTCACAGTATCCCTGCGGGTCTGTTTCTAAGCCAGGCTGTTCCCCTGGTATCTCTAAGAGAACATTTCAGGTCAAAGCTATACTTGATGCTCAGCCATATATCTCATGCTTTTTTACACTTGAAAATAATAAAGTTCTTGATTCCAGTTAATTTCACTTCTTTCTTTTATATTATTAATGCTCCTGTCCTTTTGAAAATTGGAATGTGGAATACAATGTGGCAAATATTAAGAAGTGGGAAAAGCTGTAGGAAAATAATCTGATGTCAATTTGCTTTTCCCTTGGAGTGGAGCAATCCTTTCCCCCCAGTGCTTAGTCCCAGGTCTTCTCAGCTGCCTCAGACGGCCACACAGAGAGGGTGGCTGTCGCTGTTGCTTTCTCTAGTGGTCTCTCTCTTCTCATGGACAAAGAATCTCCGACTGGGGATAAGTGGGTACAGACTTAACTGAATGAGGCAGCTAGGCTAACCAGAAGGTTCCTTGGGTGAGGGCATGAATGGCTTCCTAAGGGGCAGACATGACACATTGACCCTTAGTTACTGACGGGAAGTGCAATCTGGAGTCGAGCCAGCACCTGGACTAGCCCTTGAATTCATGGCTGGTTTCTTTATAGGGCAGGGGCATGTGAGGAAACTGAGATCTCCTAGTGAAAAAGCCAATAAGATAGGAGGCACCACAGCTTGGTTTGGGATATGTTAATTGAATGTGACACAAAGGATAGAGAGGTGTTCTTCACATACCAAATGCCTCACACAAACCAAATGCCCTGACTGGTAGGGAGAGCTTGGAGGTGATGGGGGAAGCCAGTGGACATCTCTTCTGAGCTAGGCCTTGCTGTCACTGGCAGTGGATATAGTAGGCTGCATCTAAGCACACCCCTAAACTACTCAGGAGCACTTCTAAGAGGCTCACAGCTTTTCTGAGCAGGTGGGAGAAAAACCTAGAACGAATGGAATATGAGTTACCATTGCTCATATGTTAATGTTATTTTATTGGCCCTGCAACCTTATGAGGCCTAAGGAAACTTGGGTCACATTAAAAAAGAAAAGCATACTGTAGTTTGGCAAAAACGTGTGTGTGTGTGTGTGTGTGTGTGTGTGTGTGTGTGTGTGTGTGAAATGAGCTTTCATTTAGAAGCTTTGGCAGAAGTTTCTTTTGGTTCCCTGGTACTTTTAAATGATATTTTCTGAGCTTGGAAACCAAGCAGGCAGATCATGGAATTTTGGCTAGAGATGTTTTTTAAAAAATGTAGGCAGGCAGTGAAAAAGCAGGCAGTAATTTGGCTGTGAGGCCATACTGGGCTGCCGAGTAAACCAAGCAGAGTTACCATGGAGGCGCTTCTAATGTTTATATAAACAAAGTTTTTTCCTGACAAACATGCTTCATATTTAATAATCCTCAATCCACAGGGGCCTCTTCTCTCTTTGTGTGTAGCTAGTTCATGCCATTTGGACTTGGGTAGATTTTTTAATTTTTATTGTGTGTGACTCTTTTCCGGCACCCACAATACTTCAAAATTGAGTGTTCAGTTCCGATATCTTGAAGGGTAGAGTGAGAAGTACTTTAGCGTTGGGGAGGAGATCAACCTACTGTGTGAAAATGCAAAACAGACTTTTCACTAATCCATAGTCTCCTGGACTGGAGCATACTGAGAATTTAGAAGGACAGACTTCAGGAGCTGGGTATGGTGTAATCACAGTTGAGGTAGGAGGATCACAAGTTCAAGACCAGCCTCAGCAATTTAGTGATACCCTGTTTCAAAACCAACACATTTGGAGATGTAGTTCAGTGGTAGAGCTCTTGCCTAGCATGTGGTAGGCCTTGAGTTCAATCCCCAGGACTGCAAAATAAACAACAAAAAACAAATAAAGAACAAGAAGTATAGAAAGACTTCTACTTTAATTCAGTTTGCATGCCAGATAAAACCTGGACTCTACCCACCTGCCTGCTCTGCCTCTCTTCATAGCTCTGCAATCTTTATATTGCCACTCACTGAGAGGTCACCCTCTTGCTAGCCCATATCCAATTATTGGAAGTTTTAAGAAGCTCCCATATTGTAAGATGACTCATTTGGTTATGAGTAACAAAACCCCCACTCTTTAGATCTGAAGCACAAAAGGAGATCTATTATTAGGTCATGCAACTGGAACAAGGTTTATTTTTGGATCAAGTAACTAAAAAGGCTGGGGAAGATCTGGTTCAGGAATAACTGGATCCAGCTGAAGTACCCATATCTCTAGAGAGTTCTTGATTCTAACATACCTGACATTGTCCCTTTGTTCTCCCCAATCAACAGAGTCTCTATAAAGACTGCCCCCCACACTACTTAAGAGCTGGGGACCAAACCTAGGGTCTTGTGCATGCTAGGCAAGTGCTCCACTACCAAGTCACACACCCTAGCTTAGAAATTTTGTCAAAAGAAGGGAACTTACAATGCTACAAGAATTCTTTTCTTAGGAACATGAAGTGATCAAATATCTCAGCAAGCTTGGATAAAGTTATTCTTATTTTTCTCCCTCTTGAACCCTTGGCCACTTATCTACACCTGCCCAGGAGCCCAGGGAAGCCCAAGAGGATCTCCTCAGTTGTTGCTTCATCACTGCCCTCTGGGTCGCTCAGCACACTTAAAGTCCACCTCCATTTGCAAGCACCAGAATTCTCCACTGATGCCACTTCAGGGTTTCAGAGCTGGTTGGTAAGCACCAGGCCTGGGATCTAAATGTCCTCATTCTCTGCCTTTTTCTTTTATACCCAATACTTTCTCAATCAATCCAATAGCTGAAAGGATCAGGCTTAAAAATGTAAAATGAGAATTCATAACCCATTTGAATCAAAGGTATGATATGTCAAGATCATTGTATTGTCATGAGCAACTAATAAAAAATGTAAAACAAACAAACAAACAAAAAAACTTACCTTGAAAACGGAGCAGGAATTTTAGTCTGAGAGCCTAACTTGAGACCTTGGAATGGCGGTGGGAGTAATACTGACATGGACTGTAAGAAGCGACCTGAAGAAAGATGTCATCTGTTGGTGGCACCAACTTGAACTTAAGAGAGTCACTTGCTGTGAGATGGAAAGGACAGCTCTGAGTAGGTGGAGTGGAAGAAGAGCAGGGCAGCAGGACTATGTAGGAGAGCCTTTGACAGGGGCCATGGTGGAGCTTAGAACTGAGAGCATTAGGAAGAGAAGGAGAGCAAGGGGCAGAGAAAGGGTTATCTCAGCAAGAGAAAATGGTGACTGTCAGAGTGGCCCAGACTCCCTGGAAGTTTTTAAATTAATTGATTGGAAACTATGGAGGTCCTTAGAACCCACAATTCCACAAGTGAACTTAATCAGAAAATGGTATTTTGTGATATTCTTTTGACCCTCTTGTGCCCATCCTCAGGTGGTTGTGACAGGGGTGGAGTAGAGGGTTGCACAAACTGACAGAGCAGAAAATTAGCTACAGCCAGTGGCCCAAGTTAACAACAGTTGCTGTGGCGGGAAGGGGCCACCAGGGGGCAGTGCCTTATTACCCTGTCAGCGCAACGCTGCAAAGCTCCGCAGGAGCCGGGAGGAAGATCAGTGAAACGTAGCCCCCAAGGCCCTGCCCTTTATCCTTTATTTTTCTTTCTCTGCGAGGAGCAAAATGTCTGCAAAAATGGGGCGTGCATGAACCTGGAAGTGTGTGTGTGTGTGTGTGTGTCTGTCCAGAATCCACCCAACGCGGTCTAGACGTGTCTGAATGGTTATCGTGGGAAGCATCTCATGCTGCAGACTCCGGAGGCCGGGGGCCGGTCGCCTCTCAGTCCTCCGACTGCTTCCTGAGCTCATCCAGTTCGCCATCCCTTCTTTGCGAGCAGCCACTGAGCTCCAGGCACTTCTCTGGGCCCTGGGCATCCAGTTGTTCGGGAACGTCCCTCCTCCTTGGTCACCACTTCCGCCGGTGTCTGGAGCTCAGACCTAGCCGTCCGAGCCCACTGCGGAAGGTGCTGCAGTCTCCCAGACCTGCTTTTGGAAGCAGGGGTCCTAGAGGGCCTCCCACCCTGCCTCATCTTTTGTCTGCCTCACCCCGGGTGTGGCTGCTAAAACCCCTCAAGGGAACGGTGGAGCTGCAAGGTGCGCTGCGACCACTGGGGGGCGTCTGGAGACGCGAAAGGGGCGTTGATCTCCAGGACCAAATTGTTTCTCTGGGTCCACAATAAGGTCACCTTGGCAAGGCATCATGGTTTGTCTTTGAACCGGTCCTTCTCCTCCCACCTCCGACTCCGCACGTTCTCAGGAGAACTCACCCACGACCTCTGGCCTCTCTGCCTACCAGCCAGGGTCAGGGGACAGGAGCGCGCGAGTGATGCCTGTGGAGCATACGCACCTAGACTGGAGGCGTCCTCTCCTGTCCTTTAGGTTTCTGTGGTTTCTCTTTCTGGCTTCTTAACTGGAGCCAGGAAGTGGCTGTTGCCTGGGAGAGATGGGTTCCCAGTCCCAGCTTATTGTGGGAAAACCAGCCGCGGGAAGCGCGGTTCTTGGCTGATGCCCCACCGTAAGTGGGCGTGCGGAATTAGGTGCTGGATTTACACACAAAAAGTCCTCCTACAGTAATGCAAGGCTCACGTCCCCCTCTTTCCTGGTTTCTGATGGCTAAGCCTATCCCTTGCACAGTATTTTAAATCTCCATGGAGTTGATTATAAGAAGAAAATTCAGGAAGCTGGAGGGACTCCATCCCCCAGCCAGAAAATTCTGTGTCTGACAATCTGATTACAAATTTGCACCTGTCCAAAGCTTTAAAGTTCAGAAGTTTAAAGCAAGAAAGACAGTGAGCCTATCTGTAAATATCATTCTCTTCAAAATTTTTTTTCTCTCACACTTTTTTTTTTCCCCATTTGGTTCCTGTTCCTTCTGGGCATAAGAAATATAGCTCAGGTCAGTGAGGCTGGGGATTTATTTCCAGGTCCACAGCATATTAGGGACCAGCAAAGAATGTTGGTGTCTCTAAGGTAAGTATGCAGTCTGTTTCAGGGTCCTGGTCTGGGGCTAACACTGGCTGTCGTTAAAACAAAGGTTCAAGGTGAGAGGGTTTTTTGGCCTTTATTTAAAAGTAGAATTTGGTGGAAATGATTCTGAATTCTTTGGCAGTCTAGGTCCCATTTAATTGCTGCTTATTCTCCATGAGTGATTGGTGGCAAGGATCTGTCTTGCCTAGGACACTTGAAAGTAGGCTGTTGATCTAATTCCTGAGAAGGAGAGCAGCCCACTTGTGCTCTGGCTGCAGCTGGTTGGCTCAGGGATGCAACATTATATGTGCATATAGGATGCCCAGAGCCCCGTCCAGCTCCCTTTCTCCCCACAAGATACACAAGGTTCCTTGTGGCTTCCTAGTGCCCTGCATAGATAACAAGTTGGTCATTTACTTCATGCAAGATGGTTTTCCCAGGAAAAGTCCAGTCTGACTCTGGGGTGGATTTTTATAAGTATCAACTCCTTGTTATGGATACAAACTGCTTGGAGTCTTGAAGTTTAGCTTGCGCAGAGTTAAAAAAAATCTTCTCCAGGCTCAAGTCCCAGCTAGGACATAACTTTATGTGAGTTTCTCTGCTCACATCTGTCTCTTGTTCTCCACACCAGCTATTTTAAAGCTCTCTGTTCTTAAGTCTCCTACATCACCATCTGCCCCTCTCCCCCAGTTCTTGGTAGCTTCTCTGTAGTTTTTTGGTGCAAATGGAAGCCAGGGGTCCACCATCCCTCAGCTTCTTTTCAACATACCTGTGCAGGTAGGGGTGGTGGCTTCAAGCCCTTTCTCCTTTCCTCTTGCAACACTAAACAAGGCTTGCTGCCCTCCAAATCTTGCTTTCCCATATTCTGGATTATGGTTGCAGAGGCATCCTCTGGAAGACTCTGGCTTCCATCTTGCTTGCCCTCTCTTGCTTTTTGGCTGACTTGTTCTTCTGGAAACCAGCCTTTTGGAGACATAAGGGAAAAAATTGAGTTCCTTAATTCAAAAGACTGCAAAACTGGGGATGGGGGAACATAGCTCAGTTGATAGAGTACTTGCCTCCCATGCACAAAGCCCTGGATTCAATTCCCAGCAACACACACACACACACACACACACACACACACGGACAAATAAATAAATGAAACCCTGGTTTATAAGAGATACCTTTTAAGAAGGAAAAAAAAAAAAGAGGGAGAGTGTAAAACTTGGCTGAAATGTAGCTCAGTGGCAGAGCACTTGCCTAGCATGCATGAGGCCCTGGGTTTTATCCCCACAGTTCAAGGAAAAAATGTGTTTCAAAAGCCTGCAAAGAGTCAAATTTTGCCAGCACTATGAATGAGCTTGGCAATGAGCCTTTCTTCCTCAGCTGAGTCTTCAGATGAGACCATGTCCAGTTCACACACTGATCATACCTCATGAAAGACCCAGAGCTAGTGGGAATCGGCTCTTTCCACTCACAGAAACTTTGGAAAAAACCAAATGTTTATTATTTTCAACTGCCACATTTGTGAATCATTTATTATACATCAATAGATAACTAACACAAATGTTGTCAGACTTGTTATTTTCTCAGTCCTGAAAGTTTTGGAAAAATTTGGAGATTTACATAAGATTCCTACCTTTTTATTTTATCAGTGGATCTTGAAAAAATGAAAAACACTTAAAATTTTTTTTTAGTTGTAGATGGACACATTATCTTCTGATCTGCTTTTATTGTTCTTTGAAGTGCTGGGGATCAAACCTGGGTCCTTTCTAGGCAAGTGTTCTACTATCGAGATACATCCCAGCTCCTGACCTGCTTAAAAGGCAGAATATTTTAATATAAAAGCTTAAGAAAGACATAATATCAAAATGAAAAGCAATATTTAGATCAAATATCTTTAAATTTATAAATAAAACTTTATTTAAACATAGCATTATTTATTCGCAGGCTGAATATAATTTAGCTGAACCAATAAAGACCTGAATGCCACTGGGATGTTCCTATGAAAGGAGGGGCAGATAAATGAAGAAGGAAGTAGCAGGATGCCATGCATGACTTTAATTAGCTGCTGACAGCTCAAAAATCCTTGTCTTTTAAACAAATGATCAGTAAGTACATGAAACAAAACTAAACATTACTCATTGTTAGGAAAATATAAATGAAAACCATGGTGAGAACCTGGCACGGCGGCGCACACCTGTGATCCCAGCTACTTGGGAGGCTAAGAGGCAGGAAGATGGCATGTTCAAGGCCAGCCTGGGCAACTTAGCGAGACCCTGTCTGAAAATAAAAAATAAAAAAAATCTAGGAATGTAGCTCTGTGGTAGAGCACTTGAGTAGTATGCATGAGACCCTGAGTTTCATCTCCAGTACCAGAAAAATAAACAAACAAGCAAGCAAACAAACCATGATAAGGTACCATGTTCCACCAATCAGGAGGGTATAATTTGAAAAAAAATGATGAGGGGAAATTGGAACTCTTGTGCGTGGCTTATGGGAAGGTAAAATGGTGCAGTCACTGTGGAAAAAGAGTAACATTTCCTACAAATATTGAACATGGAATTATAGTACCTAGAAATTACACTCTTAAATCTAGACACCGAAGAATTGAAAGCATGGACTTGAATAGGTATTTGTGCACCCACACTTATAGCAGTATTATTCTCAATAATCAAAAGGTAGAAACGGGAAAAATACTCATTGATAGATGAATGGTTAGGTGATATGTAGTCTATACACACAATGGAGTATTGTTCAGCATTACAAGGGAATAAAGTTGTCATATTTGCTGCAACACAGATAAACCTTGATGACATTAAGAGAAATAAGCCAGACTCATATTCTATGATCCCAATTATGTGAGGTATCTAGAATAGGCAAATGCATAGAGACCAAAAGTAGAAGAGAGGTTACCAGGGACTGTGAGGCAGAAGTGGGGAGGGGCGGTGGTACTAGTGAGAAGAAAGCCTTGTTAAGCATCCTAGAATCTTGCACAGCCTTTTCTGGGGACCAGGGCTTTCCTGGGTAGGACCCATTAGCCAGTGTCCATGCTGACCAGCTGTTGCTGTATGCTATACCACCCCCACCCCATCTCCTGGATTGGGTGCTTAATCTCTGCATGTTTGCAAGCTCGCACCTACTGACTCTTATGAAAAGAAAGGTCTATGCCAAAGGGACTCTGCCTATGCACAAGAGTCTGGTGTAAAAATTTCTGCTTTACCCAGCACTTCTACCCACAAAATTAAGGCAGTTCTCAAGTTGAACTATCAGAAAAACCTTGTTCTAAACTCATCAGGAGACATTCTCATTAACAGGGAGGGTGGGGGAAGAGTTGACATTCAGACTCAGGGACATTTCTGGTTGTATCGGGCTTGGGCATGTGCTCAGGCACACACATGATCTCATTTTTTCTACCTGAAAGCCTGATTGGAAAGTGTACTTGTTATCTACTGCTGCAAAACAAATCACCCCAAAACTCAAGGGCTCAGGACAATGTGAGTTTTGTGTCAATTTCTGTGGGCCAGGACCTGGAATAGCTTGCAAGATCCCACAGGATGTGGTTGGGATCTCAGTGGGGGCTACAGTCATCTCTAGACTCACCTGGGCAACATCCTCTTCCAGGTGTTCACACTAGTTATTGGCTGCAGCAGCTCATGGCTAGCTGTTGGCTAGCAATCTCTCCGGTTGTTGCCGGCAGCCTCTCTGGAGGGCAGCTTGACACATAGCAGCTGGCTTCATTAGAGGTAGTAAGCTGAGGAGCACGGCAGCAGGGGGAGAAGTCACGGACTTCTATAACCTAATCTCAGAAGTGACATCCCACGGCTTTTATTGTATTCTCTTAATTAGAGGCTCATAACCAGGTCCAGCTATAGGCAAGGGGAGGACACTATGCCAGGGCACAAAGATGGGAATGGGGACATCACTGGGGACCCTTTTAGGAGATGCCCACCACAGCCACTAAAATAACCACTGAGTTTTCTTTTGCTTTAGAATATTTCATCTGTTTTGAGCAACTAATAAAAAAAATTAAAAGAGGAAAAAAAAAGAATATTTCATCTTGCAGGGAGCTCTGATCAGCCAATCAAATCAATCAAAGGTTAGGTGGAGAAATAAGCAGACTGGTATTTGAGCAGTAATTCCTCTCTTCCCCTGTAGCTACCTTTCTTACTAGTGTCACTGTCAAGTGTATTAAAATACAGATGGTGAAGTTGCTCATGGGTTCCAAAGACCAGGTTTCTTCCTCGGACATTTTTTAATGGGCCTTTGTTTTCTTTTTATAGTTATCCACGACCGTAGAATCCATTTTGACTTAATTGTAAAAGCATGGAATATATCTTGTCCTAATTCAGTCCTCAGTACCTCTTCCTCTTCACACTTGGAAGGAAGAAAGAAAGATGCTTCTAAGTTGCCTTTCCTCTCCTTGGTCTAATGAGCCACTCACTGGTGGTTTGGCCTTGCTCTGTGGTTTGTTTACCTGACTGGATAAGGAAGGTGACTTAGTCCATCCAGGCTCCTAAGCCACATGGAGCCCCGGCAGGGCTGATTTCAAAGTGAATCATTCATCAAAATAAAACATAACCAGTGTCATGAGCAGAAATCCATGTTGCAGGGAGAGTCTGTC